ATGTTCATTGCCCCCGAGAGCCCCGTGGACACAGTGTCCTTGGTGCCGGTCAGGACGGTCTTTGAAGTGTTCAGGCCGGTCTGTACCGTGCCCTTGGCCATGCCCAGTGCACCTGTGAGCCCAGTAGATAGGGTGTCCTTGGTGCCCGTGAGGATGGTCTTTGAAGTGTCCAGGCCGGTCTGGACGGTGCCCTTGGCCATGGTCACTGCCCCTGTCACCCCAGCGGACACGGTGTCTTTGGTGCCTGTGACAATATTCTTGGTGGTGTCCAGGCCGGTCTGGACCGTGCCCTTGGCCATGCCCAGTGCACCTGTGAGCCCAGTAGATAGGGTGTCCTTGGTGCCCGTCAGGACGGTCTTTGAAGTGTCCAGGCCGGTCTGGACAGCCCCTTTGGCCACATTCATGGCTCCAGTCACCCCACTGCACATGGTGTCCTTGGTGCCCGTCAGGAAGGTCTTTGAAGTGTCCAGGCCGGTCTGGACGGTGCCCTTAGCCACACCCACTGCCCCTGTGACGCCACTGGCCACAGTCTCCTTGGCACCTGAGAGGGCAGACCGGGTCATGCCCAGGCCTCCGTGCACCACACCTGTAGCTGTGTCCACCACGTTGGCCATCCCGGAGGAGATGGTGTCCTTGGTCTTACTCATCTTGGAGCTCACCAGGTCCTTTGCCCCAGAGGTCATCTGATAAGAAAGGACACGCGTGGTCAAGAGGAGAGCCCGAGGCGCTCCACACCCCAGACTTCAGCCAGCCTGATCCCTCGCGTGCATTAGGGCGAAGGACTGTCACCCAGAGAGTCTGCCCGTCACCTCCCACCTGTACCTACTCTGCTCTCACACTGTCATCCAGCCATGGCCTTCCAGGGCCCGGCCTTCGCGAGCTCTGTCACAGCGCTGGGCGGCGCCCCTGATTGAATAGATCCCCCTGCCAGCGGCAGGTCCCCACACCTCCAGAACCTTTGCCAAAGTCCCCTGGCCTTGGGCTCAGTGCCGGGTGCTGGGTGACATAGTTGGTTCGTCTTGCCTACTCTTCG